ATATCAGGGATAGTACGCATCAGGTAGTTCCAACGATGCTTGACTCCATGGGTGAATGCAGCAAAAGTCGCATGTGGCTCTGTGTTAGCAATCTCAGACAGAGCTTGGATTTCACTAACCCACTCATTCACCTTTCCCGCTACGTACTCGGTCTTGAAGTCCGCAGTACCAATTACTGCGCCTAGATGTCTTTGGCCGTCCTTAGTTATTTTGACCTCACTTCCGCCAAAAACCTCCTTTGCCCGTTCATAATGTTCTGGCTTCAAGATGTGGAAGGACTTGCTGGTGTTTGGGTGGTACCCTATTTGTGGACCTCGCGATGTTACCAGGTCCCACCACTTTTTGATGCCCTCCACTTTTCCTGCTCCTGTAAGGTCATCAGCATACACCACTTGTTTGACCCCAGTTGTTTCAAATTTTATTTCTTGTTGGAGCACTGATAGGCCTATTGCATACATTGCCATTGCAACAGGGTCCCCCTGTGTTGTTCCCTCGGTTGACTGTATGATGGTATCACCTCTTAGGGCCTTGTTGTTACTATATAAAGGTCTGATGGATTCCTATAGGAGTTTTCAACGTACATTGCAAAGCTTGGACACTTGATCTTGATGTTGTGCAGTGCGGCCTTGCGGTTAAGTATGTTGAATGCGTTTGAAGCGTCCACCAGGAGAACGGCCTCACAATCGCGCTGCTCAAATATCGTTATCATGGCGTGAATGGCAGCTTCCCCTCCAGCTTGTTGGCCGGCACAAACTTGCAGGTTCCCTGCTGCTGCCCTGACATCATCCTTTACCACCTCCATTATGCATTTTCCGATGATTCGCCTCAGCACTTCCCCCACTCCTATTGGCCTACATCCTGGATTCTTATCCAGGGGAATGAGGCGGCAGGCCGTCAGAGCATGAAGGTGATGGCAGCATGAGGATGCCAGCTTTCTTGCAAGGACGGCAATGGCCGTGCAGAGATCACTTGCTATGGGGCCAAACTTGTTAGTGCTGAGGATGACTCTCCATCCGTTTGCATCCAGACCTGAAGGGCCGGCACCTCCCTGAGTTTTCAGTGCCTTTTTCCACACCATCCCTCCTGTTATTTTCTCGAACAGGACAGCATTTGGTGGGATATAGGCATCCTGGAACCTGATGCCTTCTTCATCACTTGCAGGGGGATGTTTTTCTTTCAGTTGTTTTAATGTCTCTGTTTATTGGCAGGACCCCACCAGTGGATTCCTCTGTGAGAGATCTTACCGCCAAAGACACTTTTCCCACACGCATTTTGTTTCCAAACTTCCTTGCAGCATCATCGGTGTTTTGCTTTCCGTCTCCTGCAGATTTTAGTCTCTCCTGCAGTGTTCTTGCTTCACATAGGAGATCATCAAGGGCCCCCTTCTGCCACAGTGTCAATCTTCTCTTCATTGCTGCCGCATTTTCTTTGTGCTTAGTCTTTGTGTGTGTCCTCTGACAGAATAGATGTGGTATTATTGCCAGTATATGAAGAGCTAACGGGGCAAGGAGGCGGTCTTGAGTGTACTCAGTTATGAGACTAATCATCTCCCGAATCATTTCTTTGGTGGCCGCACACTTGGGTGGTTCAAACAGGTTTGCTGGCGACCACCTGACAATTTCTGAGTAACGCACACACGCATGCACGCACTACTACTATTACTACTACTACTACTACTACTACTACTACTACTACTACTACTATGCCCAACACACACTGTATAATTGTATCAGTAGCTGTGATGTTAACTTTTATCCTAAGAGAAACAAGAAAGGCAGAAAAACAAACAAAAGACATTATTCTTCAGCAGGAGTAAAGGTAAGGACACCAGCTGACACTGTTTACAAACAAAACACGATCAGCTGATAAGACAAATGTCAACACGAGACTACAGTTTGGCGGTCACTCAAGACGTAAATATTGCGATTGATAAAGTCTTCCAGTGGCTTAGATACGTCAACATTGTGGTGTAGTGTGGTGTGGTGTGTACGGTGTGGTGTCTGGTGGTGGAATTGTATGGTGTGATGTTATAGTGTAATGTAGTGTTCTGTGTAGGGGAAGATCACACCACTTAATTCACCACCACACCATCACCTACATCATTAGTTCACCACACCACCACAGCTTCACCACCTCATTAGCCGTAAGGGTTTAGTGACCTTGAGTGACCGCAAAGGTGATGAGTTACCAGGTCAGTGTTACACCAATCTTCTCCTTCACCTTACACCTCAATTATCACCACCACCAACAACAATCATCACCACCATCATCACCAACTTACACCCCAATCACCACCACTTCATATCCCAGTCACCAACACCTCCACACACCACAATTACTATCACCACTTCACACCATCACCACCACACACCACCATCACCACCACACACCACCACATCGCCACCACACACCACCACCACACACTACCATCACACACCACCATCACCACCACACACCACCATCACCACCACACACCACCACCACACACCACCACCACACACCACCATCACACACCACCATCACCACCACACACCACCATCACCACCACACGCACACACCACCACCATCACACCACCACCACACACCACCATCACCACCACACACCACCACCTGACACACTAATTAACAAAACTGTTTACGTGTTATGAAGAACCCTTTACTTACTCAGCCAAGGTCACACTGTGTTCACTGGTAGTTATGTAGAACAGTTATGACGAAGAGGCTATTGGGTGATGACCTAGACACGTACAGACACAGACAGAAAGACAAAGGATAATAACAGACACAATCAGTTTGGTTAGATAAACAGACAGACAGATACACACAGACATATCTAAAATAAATATAGATTAAAACAGAACTAAAACACTAACACACACACACACACACACACACACACACACACACACACACACACACCTAAAATAAACTAACAGACAGAGAGACATATGCTAATCTAAACAACTGCCAGCTTGCTGAGATTAAACGGGAAACACAAAGAAACATCAGCTGATAGACAGACAAACAGAAATCAAAGAGGGGGAGAGCCAGACAGACAGACAGAGCGGGTAGGTGAAGGGGAACAGACAGGCAGACAGACAGAGAGCGGGTAGGTGTGAAGGGAACAGACAGGCAGACAGACAGAGAGCGGGTAGGTGAAGGGAACAGACAGATTAATGCCGCCACACCATCAGGACGCGTCAGTGTCTCTCAGTTTATGGTCGAGGTGTAAAAGCTTTCGTATATTTACACAATAAAACCGTGTGTGTGTGTGTGTGTGTGTGTGTGTGTGTGTGTGTGTGTGATGATGTGTGTGTGTGTGTGTGAAATGGTGGCACTTGTGTGTGATGGTGAGTGTCCATGTGCCACTAACATCATCACCACCACCACTACCACCACACCTAACAACATCACCACCTTCGGCTATCACCCCCACCCCAACCCAACCCCACCCAAACACCAACCCACACAAGCCCAATACCAACCAAACCAAACCAGCCCAGCACAAGCCCCCCAGCAAACCCAGCCCAACCCACACAGCCCAATACCAGCCAAACCCAACACCAACAACACCAACCCAACCCACCCAACCCAACCCAACCCAACACCAGCCCACCACCCAATACCAAAACCCAACAGCAACCCAACACCAAACCCACCAACCCAACCCAACACCAACCCAAACCCAAACACCAACCCATTGCTAGCCCAACACCAGCCCAACCCACCACCAAACCCAACCCAACACCAGCAACCCAACCCAACCCCACACAACCTGCCCAACCCAACCCCAACCAGAACCCAGCCCAACCCACACTGGACCAAGTTACACAATGTATTAACATGTAAGAACAACGGGTCGTCCACACCGGTGATGAATCTTGGACGGGCAAACAAAGGTATGGTTTTACAGCACAAGACACCGTGTATCAGCCCACAGACGAGTGGCAGCAGGAGGAGAGTTACGAGGGAAGAAAAACAATGGGTCTCTCTCTCTCTCTCTCTCTCTCTCTCTCTCTCTCTCTCTCTCTCTCTCTCTCTCTCTCTCAGGAAGTATCTCAACATGTGTTTTTGGTGTGTGTGTGTGTGTGTGTGTGTGTGTGTGTTCCTCAACAGTCTCTCTCTCTCTCTCTCTCTCTCTCTCTCTCTCTCTCTCTCTCTCTCTCTCTCAATGCGTTAATAAGGTGAAAATATATCAAGAATTAGAGAAGCTGTCACTCAATCCACACCCCTATAACAAACAACCCAATTTCACCTAACCTAACCACCCCCAAAATCACAATATATGTAATGCCTAAAACCTATATAGTAACCATTCTCATTCCAACCCATTACCATAACCCTTTAATTGTCTACTTAACAACAACAACAACAATAACCTCACATACAGAACAACACACAACCTCAAGAAGCAAAGTTACAAACCTCTTTTATCTTCACTATTGTATTTTTAACCCCGTCATGCACTTTAATATACAGGATATAAACCTACCCTCCTTCCCCATCCCACACCTCCTCCCCTCACTCCCCCTCCCACACCTCCCCCTACACCTGGGTTCACCTGACACATGCACAATCAGTCTGGTTGACCTCCTCTGATGCAACTGTAGCCTTGACTTCTGACCTGTAGCAGTGAGTTGTAATTCCGACCCCCTTGTTAGGAGTTGCTCGAGCGGGTCGTGCTGGTTACGCCACTTACTATACGGTCCTAGTGGGGGCAGATCTCTATGTTGGGGGCAGATCTCTATGCTGGGGGCTCTTTGTTGGGGCAGATCTCTATGCTGGGGGATCTCTTTGGGGCAGATCTCTTTGTTGGGGGCAGATCCAGATCTTTGTTGAGGGGCAGATCTCTATGCTGGGGGGCAGATCTCTGGGGGGGCAGATCTCTTTGTTGGGGGGGCAGATCTCTATGCTGGGGGGCAGATCTTTGTTGGGGCAGATCTCTATGCTGGGGGACAGATCTTTGTGGGGGGGCAGATCTCTATGTTAGGGGCAGATCTCTATGTTGGGGGGCAGATCTTTGTTGGGGCAGATCTTTGTTGGGGGCAGATCTCTCTTGTTGAGAGATCTCTTGGGCAGATCTCTTTTGGGCAGATCTCTTTGTTGGGGACAGATCTCTTTGTTGGGACAGATCTCTTTGTTGGGGGCAGATCTCTTTGTTGGGGGCAGATCTCTTTGTTGGGAGCAGATCTCTTTGTTGGGAATCTCTTTGAGATCTCTTTGTTGGGGCAGATCTCTTTGTTGGGGGGATGGGGCAGATCTCTGTTGGGGCAGATCTCTTTGTTGGGGAAGATCTCTTTGTTGGGGGCAGATCTCTTTGTTGGAGGCAGATCTCTTTGTTGGGGGCAGATCTCTCTTTGTTGGGGATCAGATCTCTTTGTTGGGGGACAGATCTCTTTGTTGGGGGCAGATCTCTTTGTTGGGGGCAGATCTCTCTCTTTGTTGGGGGCAGATCTCTTTGTTGGGGGCAGATCTCTTTGTTGGGGCAGATCAGATCTCTTTGTTGGGGGCAGGGATCTCTTTGTTGGGGGCAGATCTCTTTGTTGGGGCAGATCTCTCTTTGTTAGGGGGCAGATCTCTTTGTCGGGGCAGATCTCTTTGTTGGGGACAGATCTCTTTGTTGGGGACAGATCTCTCTTTTTGGGGCAGATCTCTTTGTTGGGGACAGATCTCTTTGTTGGGGGCAGATCTCTTTGTTGGGGGCAGATCTCTTGTTGGGGGCAGATCTCTTTTGGGGGCAGATCTCTTTGTTGGGGCAGATCTCTTTGTTGGGGGACTCTTTGTTGGGGCAGATCTCTTTGTTGGGGCAGATCTCTTTGTTCTCTTTGTTTGGGAGAGATCTGGGGCTCTTTGTTGGGGCAGATCTCTTTGTGGGGGCCAGATCTCTTTGTGGGGGCAGATCTCTTTGTTGGGGCAGATCTCTTTGTTGGGGGCAGATCTCTTTTGTTGGGGCAGATCTCTTTGTTGGGGGCAGATCTCTTTGTTGGGGGGCAGATCTCTTTGTTGGGGGCAGATCTCTTTGTTGGGGACAGATCTCTTTGTTGGGGGCAGATCTCTGTTGGGGGCAGATCTCTTTGTTGGGGACAGATCTCTTTGTTGGGGGCAGATCTCTTTGTTGGGGGCAGATCTCTTTGTTGGAGACAGATCTTTTTGTTAGGGGCAGATCTCTTTTGTTGGGGGCAGATCTCTTTGTGGGGGCAGATCTCTTTTTGTGGGGGCAGATCTCTTTTGGGGGGCAGAATCTCTTTGTTGGGGGCAGATCTCTTTGTTGGGGGGCAGATCTCTTTGTTGGGGGGCAGATCTCTTTGTTGGGGACAGATCTCTTTGTTGGAGACAGATCTTTTTGTTAGGGGCAGATCTCTTTGTTGGGGGCAGATCTTTCAACATCTTAACCCCATTACTGCAGGGACGCCACTTTTAATATTTTATTCAGCTAACGCCAAGCGATTTTATTCAACTCAGAGGGGATCCGGTACACAAGGGGTCAGTAGACTCCACTAAGTATACTGTCACCACTAACATACTGTACTGTGGCAAAGACTGATGTGACCTGAAGCTAAGCAAACTATTACGTTTAAGTTTCAGTGTAGATTTGATGCCATTTTGAGCGTTTAGTGTTTTAGCTTATGTTAGCGTTCATATTTTCTTATATTTTAAGTTAGGAGGAGAATTAAATTGTACGAACCTGTCTGTCTATATGTCTCTACCTCGCTCCATGCAGTTCCCGCGAGTCAGTTCACAACCCCTCTACACCACTATATTCTACCCTGGTTATCTGCCTCAATATGCTCATTAGATATGGACACACACACACACACACACACACACACACACACACACACACACACACACACGTTCTCTGGGGTGCATCTCTGATCAGCCTTGTCGACCTCCTGACCGCACACAAACAAGGTCCCAATATCATGGTTGAGCTGAGTAATACAAAGTGATTTATATCCATTAAATCAAATTAAATATCGTGAATTAAATACAAATTCCATATTTATTTATATTTAATAAGGAATTTAAGGTTACTTCAATGTCTTTACTTTTTCCTTTGTTTTATTCACAATTATCCTATATCCTTAGTGTTGTGCAAATCGATTCATCATATTTTGTATTTTAATTCCTGGACTTTTAACATTTTACAGTTATACTAAGAGACGGCAAGAAATAGTGATGGTGATAAACAAGACCCAAATATACTGAGAAAAAGTCAAACTGTATCACAATGTGGCAACACCTCCCACTCAGGTAATTGTTCGTGTTGTGGGACAGGTAAGGTGTTCTCCTCTCACCTGTCCATTTCACCTGGAGAGTTTTGATTTTATTAGGTTTATTATTTTTCTTTTATAACACACACACACACACACACACCCACACACACACACACACACACACACACACACACACTCTATACATCTCTCTCAGCATGTCAGCACCAACTAAACATTACCCGGGTTCACCTTTATCCACATATCCATTTCCCTTCCGTGTCTCCTGTTTATTTCTATGTTTCCCTGTACCCACATATCCACATACCCGTCATATTATTCTTCACTATATTTGTTACTTCCAAAATTGTTTATTCCCCTCACAATCCTGAAATAACATTGGCTTAATTACTGAACTACCCCTGTATGTCTGCTCCCTTTGATACAAGTCTCTCTCTCTCTCTCTCTCTCTCTCTCTCAAAACCCAATTCTTCTCTCCCTCTTTGATTGTCAGTCGTTCTACCATTCATTCGTCCAGTTCCTGCTCACCGCTATTCATAGATGTTGTGTAACCTCATTTCCTTTATATTGCAGCCATTCACTGTAACAGTCATCTTCCTGTCTCATTTCCTTATTTATCATTCTACTTGTTTCATCATTCACTGTTAAGTTTCCTCTTCTCTCACCCATTTGTTATCCCTCAACATTCACACACCTACACTACTCACCCTACCGGCCGCCACAACAGAATCATCAACAAACAACAGCTGACTCACCTTCACACCTGCACCCGGGCTCTCTCGCACAGGTAGATACTCAACCAAGGCTAATTAACACCTCACTGACACGCTTTTGTTTATCTCTAGCAACCAGTGACTCTTGACAACATTGACCATCTTTTCTCTCAATGTAGAGTCACCACCAATGTTATGTAGAGTCTGGATTTAAGAGCTGTTCGTAGTGTGGTTCTTGTATTCTAATACTTAATGGGAGAATTACGTATAATACTTTATTAGTCTTTTATTCAAATTATATGACTCGTCTAATATTACCTGTCACAAAAAATCATAACACAATATTATTACATTTTACGTACAAATTATAACTACAAATTTAATAACACATACACAATAAGGCAGTCAGTGGAGTCATTGGCCTGAGGTATTGACCAAAACAGGTGTATGAAGTAGATACTGTTCATCAGCACACCTGCACAGTGTCCGCAAAGGTAGGCAACAGATGTGCAACAATCTCTAACTTCATCATACACAGAGATACATTATAGCCAGGACCTGTATACACGGCGACCACTCACCAGGTGCATTGTAACAAAAACCTTGACCTGACCTGACCTAGCACTGAATGCATTGGGACCATAATTTCCGACCTGCAGCGATGCATTGTAATTCTGGTCCTTGATACACAGGGGCATGATATACACAGCGGCATGATATACACAGCGGCATGATATACACAGGGGCATGATATACACAGAGGCATGATATACACAGCGGCATGATATACACAGCGGCATGATATACACAGGGGCATGATATACACAGGGGCATGATATACACAGGGGCATGATATACACAGGGGCATGATATACACAGGGGGCATGATATACACAGGGGCATGATATACACAGGGGCATATACACAGAGGCATGATATACACAGGGGCATGATATACACAGGGGCATGATATACACAGGGGCATGATATACACAGGGGGCAATGTTCTCTCGCTATTAATACTAACACTACGATATCCTGTTACATTTAGATCACTTATGTTTACTGCTTGGAGTTATTATGTAGTGAAGACTCTCTTAATGCGCCCTGGTCTCAACACTCATCCTGACACCTAAATCACGACGTGTTTTTTAGGTATATGTAAACAACATCAACTTTGCTGCATCTAAATGACATATACCGTACAAGACTCTACTGGCACCATGACCTCTATTGTTTTCTTCACTTAAACCTGTATTTTAGTTGTGTTTCAAAGCTGACAGGGAAGCCAGTGATCAACCTTACGAGCCAACATGGAATCCAAACTACACTTGAGACTTTCCCCCATCCCAGTATACATCATCTCGGCAGCACTCAAGTGGGAGAGATAAACCTAAGAATCACTAGGAATCTGGACCTCAAGTGACAGCGTTCCCTCAAGTGCTTGTAAAACACTTTCTATCTTTTCTGTACCGAGTTTAATCTGGCCAATCTACGCCTTTCCTGACCTCACTGATATTTTTATTTGGCACGAGAGGGATGTTTATAGCTGCTGGTCCATTGTTAGTTTACCCACGTCGTAGCTGGGGGGAGACAGACAGACAGACAGACAGACAGACAGACAGACAGACAGACAGACAGACACACCACACACACGAGCCAGAACACATTATTTTACTCTACACAAAAACACGTAATATTTTTTCATCTCACAGCTTGATAAAATTACCTCCACTTCATCCTCTCTCACGGCTCACCTACACCCAGTTTATTTTATCTTTTTCACGTATAGATTCATTCCATTATTTTCTTCATTTGTATCTAATTCTTGTTTACCTGTTGGTACTAATTAATTTATTTTCTACAGGTACGTTATCAGTTAATTCATTTTGTTGTTATTTACTGTAATTATTTATATGTTTATTTACTTATGTTTTTTTTATGTATTAAGCAACTTCCTCTCCCCCATGTCAACTTCCCCTACCCATGGCAAACTTCCTCCTCGCGGTATCCTCCCCTCCCCTAGGTATCCTCCCCTGTCAATCTCCCCCTCCCCTACCCCCTTCGCACACACTTAAGTTATCAACTCTGGATAGGGGGTCAGAATTTACATAATCACCAGCATATTTAAGTCACTTGACGAGAGAGAGAGAGAGAGAGAGAGAGAGAGAGAGAGAGAGAGAGAGAGAGAGAGAGAGAGAGAGAGAGAGAGAGAGAGCACATTAATGAGGGAGTAAATCAATGAAGGCACAGAATGAATGACCGAACCAGGGTGAATTAATAATCAAATTAAATAAATGAGAAAAATTAAACTCGTGTATATTCGCAGTATATTTTACATCCGTGTTTGTGCTGACATTATTCTAGGTATGAAGCATATCACTGTATGTATGTATATATGTATGTATGTATGTATGTATGTATGTATGTATGTATGTATGTATGTATGTATGTATGTAATGTATGTATGTAGGCAGACACTCCTCCACCATCAACAAGGTATTCACCCTCCCAGCACTGCACAGTCAGCCATGATTGAAGCTGCCGTGTGTAATGATGTTCTGCGAATACAAGTGCTTTGATGTGCAGTACACACACACACACACACACACACACACACACACACACACACACACACACACACACACACACACACACACACACACACACACACACACACACACACACACACACACACACACACACACACACACACACACACACACACACACACACACACACACACACACACACACACACACACACACACACACACACACACACACACACACACACACACACACACACACACACACACACACACACACACACACACACACACACACACAATAATAATACACACCACACACACACACACACACACACACACACACACACACACACACACACACACACACACACACACACACACACACACACACACACACACACACACACACACACACACACACACACACACACACACACACACACACACACACACACACACACACACACACACACACACACACACACACACACACACACACACACACACACACACACACACACACACACACACACACACACACACACACACACACACACACACACACACACACACACACACACACACACACACACACACACACACACACACACACACACACACACACACACACACACACACACACACACACACACACACACACTAACCTCGTCCTAAATATAAAAAAGACACTTCAGTGATCAGCCACACTGGACCAGAGTGCTGCACCAACCTTCCCTCATCACACACCTCTCTCTTGTCCGCTACACCGGTTTTGTTGATCTTACACACAAGAGCTCACCGACCAATCAACCTTCAATAACAACCCGGAACAAGAGAGTCGAGTTTCTGCTCTAAGATCCAGTGCAGCTATTTCCCGCCTCTGGCAACACCTGATGGGTTTGAGCCAAATGGGGACGGTGCCGTTAAAGGATTCACTTACGCTTTCCAGCTGGGCGGCTTCAATCGCTTTGTCCACAGAACATCTGATAAGCCTGGCCAGCGCGGATGAGCTGGCTAGTGCCGACCAGTACAGTACCCGCTGCTGGATTACTCCAAATAACAACATACACGGTCCGTGGGGCAGGAACCTCGACGGTGAGAGATTATCCTCAAGCAGACCAATATATGGATCCCTTCTTCACATATTTCAAAGACATATTGATCTGGGTAAATAAAATATCTTGACAGTGAATCAGGTTACAGGTCTCTGGGCGGCGATAGTCACCATATGGTATAGACGTCTTACTTCCCGAGTATACTGTACACTCACGCCAGCCACACGACCACCGCCTCAGTCTCAACAGGAGTTAGAAATAAACAACAGATACAATGAGCGAGTCTCCCCTGATTTCATGGAAGCAGGCGGGCGCTGGCAGTAATTACCACCTCCACTTGGCCAGGCCTTGAAAAACCACGGGGAAAGTTTTGCTCGTTACGCCCCACGGAACCTGGAGAGCGCCGCGTCCAATTCCTGGAGCTCTTTCACCCACCCACGTGAAGGGGAGAAACATGGATCCACTCCAAGACCCGCATCGTAAAAACAGCGCCAGCACGAGTAATCAACAGGGTTTGGCGTTCTGGAGGACTTCCCTCAATTCATCGAACTCTCCCACCTCCACCAGGAGAGTAGTAAGCACATCATCTCCTTCCACGGCTTCATACTACCGCTCGTGTCATAAAAAAATACAGCACCAGTGCGAGCTATCAACAGTGCCTGGCTTTCCCGTCTCTTCACTAATGACGTCCTTGGGGAATGTTGGCAAGACCTGTGCCTTCAGTAGCGCTGTGTTATGGCTCCACCGTGAGTCTCCAACACAACAGTGGTCCCAGTCTACACTTCCTCCATTAACTTGTATAAGTGACAAAACTAATGGAACCACAAATATATTCCTTTCAGCCTAACAAAACCTGATGAATTGTGTACAAAAGTAAATGAAAAAACAGTATGTATGTATGTATGTATGTATGTATGTAAATAAAACACACACTAACATGAATTCTAAAGCAAAAACATGCAGCAGACATATTTGCATATCAGCAAGGACACACACTAGCAATGAAAGAGAGAGAGAGAGAGAGAGAGAGAGAGAGAGAGAGAGAGAGAGAGAGAGAGAGAGAGAGAGAGAGAGAGTAACATTAACAAAACCACAACGAATCTGAATTGACTAAGTTCACGATATCTTGGGACGCAAAAATCACTCGACCTTATTTTTTCAACATCCGTCTCACACCTTCCAATGTTGACCGCTGAACCACGACTCTCTTTAACACGTCACGCAGCCACGGACACAATTTCCCTTCCTCACACTCCGACCCGAAACTGTACCGAATGCTCCGAGAACAAAAGTGGAGAGGTGAACAGGTGACTCGTTACAGCATTTGGAGATTCGTTCTAACAGTTCTAAGAGTTGTTTTAGAAGCTTCGATACTTATTCCATCAGCTTGGAGTGTCAGAGGAGTAAAGGGAGTTTTGTTCATAGCTGTACATAACGATTAACGCAAGTGACTTATAGTGTTGAGGCTGCAACTTGTCCACTGTCGCCTGGGTGTTCAACTGACCTGCCCTGAATGGTGTAACACTCACCCCCAAAAAAGTATCTTCACGGAGAGGTTCGATGTATTTCACAATGAACACTGTGACTCCTGTTGTCTCGGTAGGGTTGTCAAAATCTTCCGTCCGTTGTGTCATATTGTTTCACACAGAATCGTAAAGATAATTTTTTGGGATGAATGGACAAAATCCCAGCAGATAATTCCCCAATGGACAAAATCCTAAAACCACAAAAAATATATAATGGTTAGATTAGATAAACAACACCTCGAGGATATCTGTGTTTATCTATTTACTTAATTTATTATTTCCACCACTCGTCAAGTTAATAAGAGTCACACTGCATAACACCTTTCTCACATTGACCCAGACCTGAGACAGATCCCGGGACACAATAGTGAGAGACGCACCTGCTACCACTACACCACGATCCTGATTTAAACAGATTCGTAAAATCCGTTTATTAATGAGTTGCTCTTTGACTGACTGACTGACTGACTGACCAAACTGATAAAGCCAGTCCATTTTCCTTCCAGCCTCCTGCTCGCCTATCTCCCGACCAACTCACAAGGCACAACCGGACACACGGCGCTGCCAGACACAAGATAATTGAACAACGAAAACAGATAAGGACCAATTCGGCGGTGAGGCCCGTAAGTGGGTGAAAGATACCACATGGAGTTGCGGCATCATTGTGGGGGCTATTTTCGCTGTACTGAGACACTACACTGAGACACTGGACACTGAGACACTCGACACTGAGACACTCGACACTGAGACACGACACTGAAACACTCGACACTGAGACACTCGACACTGAGACACTCGACACTGAGACATTACACTGAGACACTCGACACTGAAAC